ATGAAGACTTCGTCCATTCATCTCTTGAAAGGAGATATAGTTGGTGAGAATATCTTGGGATATGGGCTTAGCAGCTAGTACAAGAAGACATTAAATGAGCTGACACAGACGTGACTTTTGTGATAACAGAAGCCCCCCAGTTTTTGATCTGAATTGCTGCAGTCTCGAACTGAATCCGTTAGGAAAATGATCTGAAATCTGGTAGGAGCTTGACCTGAAATCTGGTAGGAAAACGACCAGAAATCTATTAGGAAAACGACCAGAAATCTGTTAGGAGCTCGTCCTGAAATCTGTTAGGAGAACAACCAGAAATCTGTTAGGAAAACGACCAAAAATCTGTAGGAAAACGACCAGAAATATGTTAGGAGCTCGTCCTGAAATCTGTTAGGAAACGAGCAGAAATCTGTTAGGAAAACGACAGAAATCGATTAGGAAAACAGACCGAAATGTTAGGAAATGACCAGAAATCTGTTAGGAGTCCTCTTGAAATTTGTTAGGAAACGACCAGAAATCTGTTAGGAGCTCATCTTGAAATTGTTAGGAAAACGACCGAAATCTGTTAGGAAAACGACTAGACGGTGGAAAATGACCGAAATTGTTAGGAGCTCGTCCTGAAATCTGTTAGGAGCTCGTCCTGAAATATGTTAGGAAAACGACTAGAAATCTTAGGAAATCGACCATAAATCTGTTAGGAAATTGACCAGAAATCTGTTAGGAAAACGACCCGAAAGGTCATAACGAGCTCAACTTGGGAGCAAAATGACCTCGACCTGAGAGGTCGAACGAGCTCAATGAGAAAAACGACCTCAATCTAAGAGGTCAAAACGAGCTCAATCAGCAAAACGACCTCACATTGAGAGGTCAAAACGACATCCCTAAAGGTCAGAATGAGCTCGACCGGAAAGGTCAAAACGACCTCGACTGAAAGGTCAAAAAACCTCGACCTGAGAGGTCAAAACGAGCTAGTGAGCAAAATGACCTCAATCTAAGAGGTTAAAACGACTTCAACCTGAGAGATCAAAACGACCTCGACCTGAGAGGTCAAACGAGCTCAATGAGCAAAACGACCTCAATCTAAGAGGTCAAAACAACCTCAACCTGAGAGGTCAAAACGAACTCGATGAGAAAACGACCTCAATCTTAGAGGTCAAAACGAGCTCGACCTGAAAAGGTCAAAACAAGCTCGACTGAAAAGGTCAAAACGAGCTCAACCTGAGAGATCATGACGAGTTCTACCTAAGAGCACAAGAGATCAGCGATCTCAGTGTGTGATCAGCGATCTGAAGACGCAATTTGAGAGCTAAAGATATGCGATCTGAAGCTGAGGATCGGACGACATGGGCGTGCGATCTGCGATCTGGCCATGCGTCGGAAAACTCTGATGCGTGCGATCTGTGATCTGGCCACGCGATTAAAATTCTGATACGCATCGAAGAATTCTAACGCGTGCGATCTACGATCTGGCCCCGCGATCGAGAACTCTGACACGTGCGATCTGGCCACGCGATTGGAGAATTCTAACGTGTGCGTCTGCGATCTGGCCCACAATTGGAGAATTCGACGCAGGTTTGAGATCTGAGCACGCCATCAGAGAACTTAGAGCAGGCTTGAGAATCGGACCTGCCATGGGCCACCAAACTGTTGACGCTTGATTTTGGACGCCAATGACTCACACGTGGGAAACGCTGAGCTGACTCAGGAGACACACGTGATGGATCCATGAGATTTGAATATGGAGTTAAGATTATATATTTTGCAGAAAAATAAATAAAAGATTGGCAAGAGGGGTTTTTTTATAGTGGTTTGGATGCAACAAGCGACTCTACATCCACTGTTATTATTGATCTCTGACTATTTCTATGATTTTGCCCAAAAGGCATACAAGATGAAGATACAGTGTTTACAGAGAGAGAATGAAAATGAAGCTCCAATCTAGCACCAGCCTCCAGCCTCCTTCTTCGTGAAGAGAAATGCCCATTTATTCACCCAAACACTCAATGTAATGAGTGTTTTGCAAGTTGCCTTGACACATGGAAGACTCTCGTCCATTCATCTCTTGATAAGATTTTGTTGGACCGGTCATCACCATCACAAAATTAAATCTAAATACCGTAGTTAGCGGTAAGCAGGGTCGAATCCACAGAGAGCAAGACTATGACCTAATGTATATTTGAGTTAACGAAAGAGAAATTGACAGAATGATTGATTAAATAAGGAAACTAATTACTTGCAGGAAATTAAAAAGCATTAAATAAATTGCTAACTAAAACACAATATTAAAAGCGTTGCCGCTACGGGTTCGGTTTGACTCAGGACCAACTCTCACAATTCCTCTCCTCGCTCTTCAATTTCCTAAACCTACAAGGCTAGGCAAATCAATAAAAATATCTCTCGGCAATCTAGGTATAATCTATCCTGTTTCCCTATCGTCTTAGTTACAGATCGATTGGTTAAAGACTATCATCGACTAACCGAAAAACGCTAAACCCTTAAACACCACTAGTTGGTACAACGTTAACAAGTACAACCTATCAACCTGTATCATCAATCAATAATTAATAATAATGCATTCCTATAGAAATGATATTAAACGCTACTACAACTTGATTGCAATCAGTACCGAAGCAATTAAAGTCATAATCAAATTCATAATCTCAAACCGACATTCAATTATGCAAAAGTTATATATCAATAAACGTTCTCAATGGACATTATCAATTCACACACTGAGCATCAGAATAATATTAAAGCATCGCAAACAATGAAACGAAAACAAATATAATCTGAATACAAGAACATTAACCAAATATCCACCATTCGGGCTCATCCAACTAGTCGAGAGCTGATGAGGAGATCAATGGAGTCAATCTCGATCTCGCCTATACCGTAACAGACAACCGGGAACTCAGCCGCTCATGGTGGTGATGACGGAGGCTGAAACGGTGAAAACGAAGCTGATCATGGCGAAGAGGAGGAACCGACAGCGATATGATGCAAAGAAGGGGCGAAAATGACCAACGGACAGCCCGGAATACGAACAGCCGTACTTCGCTGGAAAACGTTAATTTTCCAGCGGGTCTTCTGGAAAACGTGGCGGAAATGGGATCCGAAGGTACCGAGGAAATCTCTAGTGATGGGGAGTTCAGATCAGGTCCTGGGAGGTGAGAAGTCGCCAAAATGAGCAGAATCTGGGCTGGAAGATGAAGAGGCGCGTCGACAAAATCGCAGATTCCGGTGGTTTTCGCGGCGGCTAAGCTTGAAATGGGTAGATCCGGCCGTGGGGAAGGGAGATCGACTCTTGGGGATGAAACATCGTCGGAAAACGGTGAAATCTCGCCTGGAAGACGAAAAGTCGCGATGGTGGAAGGCGAAGCGTCGCGGTGTTGTGAGGTTTCCACGGTGGTTTGCGGTGGCTGATGGCGGATCGGTGCATGGGGAGATGGATCGTCACCGGAGGGAGACGAAGGGTCACCAAAAAACTGGTGAACAGCTTCCCTTGTACGCGACTTCATCTTCTTTTATAGAATAAAATGCAAAATATCACTTTGGTCCCTACACAATTGAAACATGACAAAATCACCCCTTGAAACATGACATTTTACCCCCTAAACAGCATAAATGAGACAAAATCACCCTTAATCCATAAACTACAACCAATATCAACTCATATACTTTCCAAATCATTTCAAACACGTTTAAATTCATAAGAAAAATATTAGGAAGCAATTTTCGTGAATAAATTCATAATTCTTTAATTGTCTCAATATACTTCAATTTAATGACACATGGGGTATTTTTATCACAAAATGAGTCACTTTCATGACTCTAACAATGAGATATAGTTGGTGAGAATATCTTTGGAGATAGAGCTTGACAGCGGGTACAAGAAAACATTAATGAGTTGACATATACGTGACTTTTTAGGCAAACACTGGAAACCTTTTATATTATTTTTTTTTTTTAATATGATCAGGGTTTTCTTTTCTACCCCTCATCCTCTCAAAACACATTCCTTATTCTCAAAACTTTTTTTGATACAAACCTGAGAAACTTGTTGCAAAAGTCGAGTATACTGTAAAACACATGATACTATTGTACAAAATGAAACTAAAAAATTAACCTATTGATACGGGAAGGATATTGTTATTAATATCTGAAATTAATCTGAAACAGGGGGGTGAATGATCCTTGAACTAAAAAAGAAATTGAAACAGAAACTCGTATCAGAATCCACGTTCAGTGGAAAATGGAAGTACAAAGGGGTTGCTTCATGCTTGAGATTTGGTTTGATTAAACATTTAGACTTGATTGATGTTATGATTTGAGGCTGAATACAAGATGTTCTGTAATATTTACTTTTGACTCTTGTTCAAAAGTACTAGTTCTGTTACTTTATGGTTCACTATTCATTGCGAGTCCCAGAAAACTCTTAAATTTCTTCAAGTTGAAGAACTCATGACCCATGTTGTCCTGTTAGGAGAGCTCACAGTCACAGGGACATGGTGTCTCTTGAATCATGATCCACTCTGAGTAGTCTGTGGGCTGAGTTCACCGTATTATTATTGAATATTTTGTTGGGAATCGTTGGGCTAAAAAGATAGAGGCTTGCCTCTTCGCAGTGCTGCCCTCTACTGGACTGGTTTTGTATTTTTGTTACTTTCTAATTTGGGTCGGTCACGGTAGTTTAACTTTTCCTTTCAGTAATCAGAGTGAAGTTGGTTTCAATTCGACCGGATTTATGGGACCAGTTCTGGAAATGTTGACCTCGAAAGTCGTAACTTCCCATTTAAGCAAATATATTTAATGCCAACAGCTGCATCCTGACGTCCGTAAAATATCCAAGAAACCCGTACATAGGATTATGAAAAGGAGGAATGGACCACCTCAGTACTCAAGAAAGAACCTCAAGTGAAACGATTAATTAAGGCAGAGAAAATGAAAAGGATAACCAAACTCTGCACGAAGCAACAAGGATTATCAAAAAACCTTAGCTATTAGCATTGTATATAAAAAGACAAACTTTCTTAATAATTTGTTTATGTTCATTACATGGGCCATTTACGGGTTTTCCTCTAAAAATTCTTCTTATCACAGAGATTAATTTCTCAAATCCTCCCGGATAATTTTAGTATCATACATCTCCTTTAGCTGCTTTTTACACGTCTTTTCGACTCCAAAAATCCGATGAGCGGTACAAAGTGTACCATAGACTTTACACAAATCAGACAACTGTGACACTGAGTAACTTTGAATTCATGGACTGCGAGAGTTGATACTCACTTCTTCAATCTACATAGTAAATACATGAGCCGAAAATTATGGTTAACCATTTACAGCTACAGCAGGGCTCATCTTCTTCTTCCTCTCACTGAAATTACGACACGAAATCAAGCTTGGAAGGCAACACTGCACAGACCCCATTGACTTTTCATCCCTTACGGGATCATCATTAGCAGTCCTCTCACTACCACACGAAGTGTTCGCTCCAGATAAATAGGGGGTAGCATTTGTGGATTTTGGAGGCAGAGTTGGCTGGACTTCCATGTTCCCATTGGCCATAATCTGGCGGACTGTAGTATTTTGCTCAACAGGAGGTTGGTCTTCAGGGGCTTCTCTAATGCTCTGCTTGAATAGTTCTCCTAGTTTCATTTTCTTTCCAGTCGGAGTTGTTTCAGAAATGTCCTCTGAAAGGGCTTTGTTGACTTGAGGTGTCCCAGTAGAGAACGCCTGATGAACTGGGGTACTACCACGAGATGGTGTAAAATCTGCATAAAGTAGTAAAAAGGTGGATTGGTTAACAACAACGAAGAAAGACATCAAAACTTTCCATATATATGTATATACACACTACAGTTCTTTACCTACTGTTAAGGTCAGTATTTGGGTGTTTCTGAATTCTAAATATGAAACAGTGTCATCTATCCAGATTAAAGATATAAAATACCATTCTAACAATCTTACCTCCATTGACACTCTGAAAATCATCTTCACAATCAGAATCTAGCCAAGCTTGAGAATCAAAAAACGTTTCCTCTTTACTACCTGCATGGACATGAAAAACACATTTCAACTTCCAGTCAAAGGAGGACAAAAAATAAATAAATAAATCAGGAAAAAGAATGTCAGTTCAAGAATTAACTATACTAATTAGCTAAAGAATGGATCTTAGAGATAAATTTTCATTTATGTAACTAAATTTTATAGGAATAGCTGTGCTAGTTTATAAATCAGGTCAAGCTAGCAAAGAAATATTGTAAATTGTAAAAGCTCAATTATAAATAAGCTTTCAAGTGAATTAGCAGATCAAGGACTCCAGTAAATTTTCACAAAAATCATCCCCTGACAGTAAAATTTATGTTCAGTTTTGATATGGCAATTTAACCCAAAGACAAATTAAAGGTGGGACCAGTTCAAAGAACCATCCAAGTAAAGTCCATGAAACATCATCCCTGTAGCATAAACAAGAAGTGGGTTTCGCCATCAACAGCTATGTCCATATGCCTCATTATGTTAAAGACAAAACATTAAAGGTATGCCCATAATACTGAATAAGAGTCCCAATGAACTCCAGAGACCACAAAATAACCCACATCTTAAACTCTTGGGTATTCCTGTAAGATTTCACCACAAGTTCTAAAAATCTTCAACCTGATGTCAAGATATTTACATAATAATCATTGGCTTTAAAACATCTGTGACGTCCATATCCCAGAGTGTGGTCCTTCCATTCCCCATCCTGTATCAAGTCGACTGTATACAACATGATCCATATTCATCAATGTGATGATAACTAATGGGCCCGCAGAGGATACTTTTGAAGATTCAAGATCCAGAGACTGCTGGAATGAAGAAACCATTACCTATTTATGATCTAATTAAAGCAAATTCGCGATAGGGTCGTCTGGATATGGTATTAAATTTCTTCATTCTTTTATGAAGCAGCCATTTTCATGATCAAATCCAAACTAGATTGCAGACAATTGCCTTTAAAGCCCGGTGGAACTGTATGGAGAGAAACTCAATCACGAAATTAATGTTTAAAACAAATGAAAAAGAAGGATAATCCTAATTGTATCTCGCTACACAATTCATACAAACAGCCTTTCAATCTCAAACTTGAGCAACCTAATCTATTGGCATACAGCTTTTAATCAATTTTTTTCAGTGTGAATATTTTTCTTTTTTTTGTATGATTAACTATTATGTCATTTGATTGGCCACCAAAACAAACACAGCCCACAGGATATCATCATTATGAAGGGCAAAAACAAGAACTAGTGCATCTGACAAAAGAAATCATATTTATATGCAAGGGCAAAAACCCAGAAATTAGAATGATATGATTAACTAGCCATCCAGGAAACAAAAAAAAGATATAGATATGCGCTAAAATAGAAAGCCATCTTGTTCCTGAATTTACTATGACAGAATCCAGTAGTAAATTTAAAAAAAAAAAAACAAAAAAAAAAAAACAAAAAAAATTCAATTAGAAGAGGAGTTAGGAATTAAGAAAATTACAGAGAATAAAAATCCTGGACAAATGAAAAGTCAACCACACGAAGCAAAAACTAAATAAAATCAAACTTTAAACTCTGATAACTATAATACCAATAAAGGTTTAACAAATTCACAGAAAGAGCATAATCATACTCTGTGCATATCAATTTGATATATAATAAAAATATTAAAAGTATAAAAACAATAATTGACATCATAATATAAGTTTCTTTTACCAATAAAAATTATACAGATGATAGCTACAGTCATTCGTTAGCATAAAGTATCTTAACAAACCCCACAAGGGCACACCCAGTTCAGATCACATATCATCCAGAAAAATATAAAAATATAATTAAGAAAATCAATACTCAACGCTAAAATAACAAAAACAATAACAAAACAAGCTTTTCCTACCAAAATGAAGTAAATTTTAATAAAAGACTGAAACTTTGATAGCATACCAGGGTCTCTACCGGTGATGGCTGGCCAATCGTTCATCGGAGGGAAACCATTGGACGGCTTTTCTTTGATGGGTGAAGGTGGAATAATAAGGTCGTGATTTTTGGAGCCAAATGAAGACATGTTGAGTTTCTCTGGCGTTTTCTTATGCATTGATGATACACATGAACCCATCTCTCTCAATATCTCTCCACAAACATCACGAAACCAAAACTAAAGCTTTAGACTCACAAAATGTGAAACTCCTACAAAGAGAGAGAAAGAGACTGTTTTAAGTGTTTTAGAAGACAAAGAGCGTTTTCTTGGCGTTATGTTAAAGAGTGGGGAAAATGAAAAATCTCAGAGAGAGAGAGAGAGAAAATGGAATTGAAAAGGAAGGTCCAAGACTTTAACAAAGACTTAACGTTTTTTTTCTTTTTAATTTAATCTTCTTAATAAAATTTATTATTTTTAATATTTGTTTATCTTTATAAAGATTAGGTTAAATTTTGTCAACAAAATTATTATTACAATATTTGGTTAGTTTCAAGTAGTGAATTGAGTTGTTTCAGCTGTGTTTCAAGGAAGGTGAATTGTTTTCCGGTCAAAAGGCCATAATTATCTAGTGGTAAGACCAAAAGTTTGATGAATTATTAGATTGATTTTATACTTTTTCACCATGAAATTGATGAAAATATGAAGAGTATTTTAGGTTAGAAGTCAACATGCTTTAATTTAATTTTGGGTCTTAAATTTCATGGGGATGCTTCATCAAGGAGCCCCACCTCCACATCACATTCAAAGTTTACCATTTATTTATTTTTAATTTTATGGGAAATCCCAAGTTTCAATTTTCATAGCTTAGCTTTTTTGAGTTTGGGAAAGGGGCATGGATCTCAAACTCAAATCATATGTTTAATCATTTTATTTCTTAGAAACTAACAAATTGGTCACATCATGGCCTTATTATTATTATGTTTAAATAACATACCTAAACGTAGCATGATTGAATACCCATTTTGCCAGATGATCTACTACCTAACATGGATGGTTCTCATTTACCAAGCGTATTCCAGCTTTACAAGTTTGACCCAAATGTGCAAAAATATTTCAGGTAGACAAGATCCATTGCTTTGATTTCATTCCATAACCATTAGCTTTGAATCTCTTTCTTTTATCAACTTTCTAAAATGGGAGTACAAATGCCATACTTGTTTCTTGATATTCACATCATAAGATTAAAACCCAAAAACAAAACAAAATATGTTCATCAAAGTGAAGCCCTTTTATTTTATGTAATTATATTATATGATGCCTTTGCCAACTAGCAGGAATATTATTCTCATTAATATACTTTTTCTTCATTACTTCAACCAAGGTCCAAGAATATAGCCAAAAAAAAACAAAAATTAATTACATTCAAAATCTATTTATTCAATCAATTATCGAAGAATACTTATGAACATTAAATGAATAAAATTGTAGCCACAAATCAACTATGCCCCACTAATCTCAACGTGGAGGCAAAAGAAAAGGTTGAAAATTTGAGAAAATTAAGAATAATACTATATTTACCGACCCAAATACTGATTTTTATATACCGACTCACTATCCAACAACCCAAATCTGAAAATTTAACTTAAGTCGGTATGTAAAATCTGTGGCTGAGTCGGTAAGCCTAGCATCACTGGAAAATTAAATAGATAAAGTTGAAGATGACACCACTTACCGACACATGAAACAGTTTGAGCTTAAATCCTTATCTTTACCTTAAACCCATTACAAATTTTGCAATCGAATCGTTGTGGCTCTAGTTTAGCCGTAAGCTTTTGAATGTGACAGGAAACAGAGTTTGCATAATTAAGGCTTATCATCATGCACTTGTCTTATGTAATAAATTAAATCCATTTCAATTGCTATATATGTAATAAGCTTTCAGTTTGTTGGTCGACTTCTTATGGCTGATATAAGTTTATAAAATTTGGCAGAACGGAAGCCTCCAGTTTTCTGTATTTGGGTTCGGCATATTTCTTTATCACTATTTTGTTTACTGTTTTATGGTCATTTTCTCATTTGTTGACAAGGGTAAATTTGTTATTAAATAGCAACTAGCAAGTAAGACTGTAAGAGATTTGGATTAGGTTAGGTAAAGTTACAGACTTTGTTAGATTACCATGGAATGGTACAAACAATTGTTTTCTATTAATAAAAACATACTATGATTTTTCTTATTATCTTTTATAACAAAAAAGTCTTTGCTAATCATGACGCACGTGTAAATCCTGTCTACTAGTTCCTTTAATCTTGATTAGGTAAAACACACTTACTTATCCCATTATGATTACACAAATATATGATAATATTAATAGTGTTACTATCAATCTATTATAATTCTATTATCTTTGAGATATTTATAAATTAAAAATAATCCATATGATACTATTGTGTGTGAACCATATCTTAATAGTATGAAAACACTTATAAAGTTAATATCATTTATAATCCAAAGTTTACAAAATTAGAAAAAGTTGAATTGCAATTATAATAGACAATGCATGTTGCAGGTGGCTCTATTACAACACATGCATGTTCATGTTGTGGGCTGTGGGTAGGGCCCTCTTTCTCCGTTAAAAGTAATAAGAATTAATTAAGACGTGAACCCACTACTCGAGCTAAGCTTAATGCCAAAAAATCATAAAGTTAAATTCAATAAGTGAAACGACGATTCTCAATCAAACAAATATCTATCAAAGAATCAGCTGATTGTTACTTATTCCAATTATACACCTAACACTGCCAATTTCATATTCAACATTTTATCAATTCCTATCTTGTAACCACATGCAAATTTCGAATATTTTATTTATCAATCAACCTTTCATTGTTCTTATGCGATGCGCCACCCACTTGGCTTGCCCCCTTTTTTGTTTTTGTTTTTGTTTCTTTAATCAAATACTCTATACATCTAGTGATAATAGGATTAAAAGTCACATTTCTAAATTAATTTATTATATGAATAATATGATCCTAGTTATGATTTCGTGACATTATTCAATCTTCGCATGTTCAAGCAATCAAATATCTCTTGAAAAAAAAAATCCCAACAGAAGCTAATCATAAGTCGAACAAATAATGGAACTTTCACGACCCATAGGGCAGCCCACAGTATGGATTTCGGCATGGCCCATTCGTAGCCCATACTCGTGGCGGGTTTCCTCGGGTTTACTTTGATACAAGCCCGACGTGACCCGCCACAAGCCACCATTTGACTTCCTTGAATTCCAACGTTGGCCCACAAAATAGCTTGATTCCATCCATATTCTGCCACGTATCTCCTCTGGTCTAGTTCTACCTAGATTTTCTTTTTTGCTTCTTTTTGGTCAAAACTCGGACCGGATAGTTGGTAGTTAGGGGATAATTAAATATTAATGACAAAAAACCTTCCCCTACGGCATCGTTGTTATAACTAATCACTTGTTACCGGATCTTGGTTTCTCACCTAGCACCGATTTTTTTATCTCTTCCAGAAAAGAGTCTAAAACTGAATCAGGTCGGAATCCGAAAATGGCCGTCACCGCGAAAATTGCGCCGTCGATGCTGTCATCAGATTTCGCCAATTTGGCATCTGAGGCTGAACGCATGCTCAATTGTGGGGCTGACTGGCTCCACATGGACATCATGGTAATAGTCTCTTTTCGATCAGTATTGTTATTTTGGGATTGATTTTAATGATAATAGTTTGTGTGTAAATAACTGAATGAGTTTAAGATTGAGATTAATTCTGTTTTGGATTTTCGATGCATTTTGTTAATTTAGGACCTCTTTGGTTGTCATTTTGAATTACTTGAATAAATTATTTATTTGTTTTTGCAATCTAAAGGGAAAAATACGAGGAATTCAGTTTCAATGTACAAATAATCTCGAGTTTAGAAAAGTTGGGGAGTGTTATGTATTGTTTAACAAAATTGTCGTATAAAATAAAAAGGAGGAAATGAAATTTGGTTCACCTGAGAATGGTCTATAGTATTTGGAAAACAGTTTCATGAGCTTTATTTGCTTTTTAAACGTTATTCTTCCAAAACAGAGCAAACATCCTTCAGTCACATTATCATAATCGAGTTCACCACTAGTTTTTGAAAAAGGAACCTTGTTTTTTGATCATATCTTGTATGAGCTAAATATGTTGGACAGGAATTGTTGGAATTTTAGTTTGGTTGTCTTTACTTTAGTTGGTGCGTTAGACTCTGTTATATCCTGCAATTAAGCAAATGCTATAAATCTTCAGTACTCTTTAAGAGAGACTCTCATTTGTAAGGGATTATCTCAAAAAGAATCAATCAAAATATTATTTCTTGTATGTCAAAACAGTGTTTTCCAGTCCTAGCTATCTTGATGGATGTCAGCTACGATAACACCAAGAAATTGTTTACCTTCTCGTTTCTTGAATTTGGAAACACAATCAAACTTGTCATTAATGTTTGGCATGTGCTGACTATATCAAGATTAATGCTTATAATGATGTTTAGTTGCATATTAATTGCAATTGCTAATAGTCACTTTAAGTCATTTTAATGGATATAGACCTCTTGAAACTAAGGTTTTTCTTTGTATTCTCTTGTGTGCAGGATGGGTAGGTTTGACGCATATTCTCACTCTCCAATATTTCAATCCAATTTCCTGTAATTGTGGTTCATTTTCCCCTTACAAACTTTATTCTTCAAGGGCTTTTGCATGTTTTTACAAGTTAAGGTCTTTGCTCATTGAATGTTTATAACTGTCAAGTGCTGGAACAAAAAAAGAAAAATGTTATTTCATACGGTAGGAAACTTATATTTCCGTGTGCTTCTGGCTATAAGTTTTGTCAATGCGTGAATCTTAAATTCAACATATTTTTTGTGTAGCTTGGAGGGATTATGACTTCAAATATGCACATGACTTTCTTTTGCTGCTTTGGATTTTTGCTGAACAAGACATGAAAAATGCTTTACATATTCTGTTAATAATTTGTGACTTGTCTTTCCCCCCTATCGCATAATGATTGTTTGCTTATCTTCTTTATCTTTAGGCACTTTGTCCCTAATCTAACTATTGGCGCTCCAGTCATCGAAAGCTTGAGAAAGCACACAAAGTAACATCTTTTACCCATCTTTTTAAAATTCTAGGCAATAACCTTAGTGGATTTTGGCATGTTTACTACTGTATCTAGATTTCTAGATGAAAATTTGTTTTTAATCTCTTATAGGGCATATCTTGATTGCCACCTTATGGTAACAAATCCTCTTGATTATGTTGAACCTATGGGTAAAGCTGGTGCTTCAGGTTTCACATTCCACGTTGAGGTATCCAAAGGTGGGGGTTGATGTTGCATTCTTATTCAATTTAATATACTTTCTTCTTGTGTTCTATATATTTTCATTTCTATATCTGTCTTAGAAAGTGGTTTCCTGATGTTTTTGTAGATAACTGGCAAGAGCTTGTCCAAAGAATCAAGTCAAAGGGCATGAGACCTGGTGTGGCATTAAAGCCTGGGACACCCATTGAAGAAGTTTATCCGCTGGTATAAAATTTCTCTCTCTCTCTCTCTCTCTCTCTTTTTTTTTTTTTTTTTCTAATTTTCATATATTCTATTTAGCTGGGATAGCTATTGAATGGTATTGATGGAAATTAAGATCTTTATTTGTGATATTAAAGTTAGTTACTGTGCATAATTATTCCTTAAACAGGTATATATATTTGTAATGAGTCCATGGGATAGGGAAAGATAATACTTATTATTAAATATATCATTGTAAAAACTTACAGGTTGAAGGTGAAAATCCTGTGGAAATGGTTCTTGTGATGACTGTAAAACCTGGATTCGGTGGACAAAAATTCATGCCAGAGATGATGGATAAGGTGACATTACCTTTCATCTCCTGTCTTTTCCTTTGTTATTTCTTAGAGGTGGGCAAAAAAGCAGTGAAACCATATAATTCGGTACAGTACGGTTTTTTAGCAGGAAAAAAAAAAAACCTTTCATAACGTACAGTACGGTTTTCAGTTCCCTGAAATTACAAAAAAAAACCGCAAAAATAATCCCTAAAATATCAAAAAGCTCCTAATAAAAAACTGTTAAACCGAACCGTACATACCAATTTTTTTGGTTTAGTACGGTTTTGTTATTAAACTTACATGGTATGGTATGGTACAGTATGGTTTGACCAAAAAACCGAACCTTACCGTGTTTGTCGTCCCCTATATTTCTTACTATTTAAGTCTGTCCTTGTTTGCAATAACCTATTTTCTTCCTCTTGGGCGATGGTTCAGGTACGCACACTGAGAAAGAAGTACCCCTCACTCGATATAGAGGTGAGCCCATCTTTAGTTGCATTATCTAGACTTTACCTCTTGACAATTTATGTATTCCATCATTGTTTTGAATTCAATATAAATGGTTATTCCGCAGTTCACAAATGCCTGTAGTAACTCTAGTTGCAAACTTCACGAATTTATACAAACGTTGCTAATTTATATGAAGCATCTTGGGAATGAATCTGTGGGCTTCATTCTGAAATAGTTTTTAGGTTGTGCATATCTCCAATCTGTGTTTTCATATGATAATATCATTATTTTCTATTTTTGGTGCATGTCTGTGAGATTAAGAATGATGTTTTGTGGTGACCACTGGCTGACTGAAACATGTATGAACATGGCTCTCTTTAGGTGGATGGCGGTTTGGGACCTTCTACCATTGAAATGGCAGCCTCAGCAGGTGCGAACTGCATCGTTGCAGGAAGCTCAGTGTTTGGAGCAGCTGAACCAGCCAATGTTATATCCCTGATGAGAAAGAGTGTCAATGATAACCAGAAAAGCAGTTGAGGGTTTTGCAGGCAAGACACATTCAGGACTGGTGAGTGGATTTTATTGATGTATGTTTACAATGTGTACATCACCAAATTGATATGATATGTCAGGATTTTGAAATTCAATAAAGATGATATGGTTTGTTTGCATCCAGAAAAGAGGAATTTGCCAGGGTCAACAGTTACATCATCTCTCATGAACTGCATGTGTATCAGTTTAAATGTAACAGTATAAGATGTCTACTTTTGTCTAACAGCACCAACTCATATATAGATTATTTATGTTTAAATTCAGAAATAATGTCTCTCTTCCCATGACCCGTGTTCATTCAAATATGTTCATGGTGCCTGTTTTATTTATGAGTTCCTCACTGCAAAATTTCCCCATTTCTGTCAATTACTCTTGAATCTGTTTAACATTCTTGATTATGTATCGATCGAGCATTAAATATACAGATCAAAATTATAATACCCTATCCTCGCATGTCGCATCTGTATTAGCTTCTTCGTTTGAATAATATTATTTGTTTAGATGATGATGGAGTGACTACATTTAAATGGGGGATCAAAATCCAAATCAGATGCACAAAATCTAATTCAGTGGAATGATATTTTATCTAGTCAATCCGAATATATATTTGTTTCAACTTTCAGCATGTGCAGCACAGTAATGTATATATGGCCGTGTTTGGTTCATTATTCTTGCCATATTCTCAATCCTATTCTCCAAATAATCTTCGCACATTATTCCAGAAATATTACTTAATTTTTTTAATTACTTTTAAACCCTATAAGGTTATTAATTTCATTAAATACCCCCTGAAAAAAAAGTTTAAAAAATAACAAAAACACCCCCGTGACCCATACTTGTCAGATTTCGACAACCACAACGGTGAATTACCGATCGGAACTGGCCAGTAATTCACCGATTTGGCATTTTCCAGCCAGATCCATAGTGGATCTGGCCGGAAAAGGTTAGATCTGGCTGTAGTGACGGCCAAAGAAATGACCGTTGTTGACAGTCAACGACGACCAAATCTTGGCCATCATTGACCGAAAACAACGGCCATATCTTTGGCCGTCGCTAACGGTCAAAGATGGCCGTCGTTTTGGCGTTTTTCGGCCGTCGACTGCCATAGCAAGCCGTAGATCTGGCCTTTTTCGACCAGATCCGTGGTGGATCTGGCCGGAAAAGGCCATAACGACGCGTTACGACACAGATTCGACCAGTCTGTGTCGTAACACGATTTTTTGGCCAAATTCCGACGGTGGTGGTCAGAATTCGGAATTTGGCACTACAGGTGGTAGGAGTATTTTTGTCATTTTATATGTTAGGGTGTTTAATTAAATTAGTAAACCTATGAGTTTTTTTATAAATTTATAAATTTCACCCTGTAATACTCTTATATTCAACTACCTAATATTATTCCTAAAATCCTATCTAAAATAATGAACCAAACGCATCCTATAATATTTGTGAACACTAGACTCGTAAATATCCTTTAATTGAGATCCAAATCTGAATCTGAAACTATTACATACAATTTGACATTACATGATTTGATCGATCTAGATATTTTCCTGCAAATATCTTTCCCCTCCTTGATCTTGATAATTTTCTTTACAGAAAATAACTTTAACGTTAAGTGATAGATCTTGCCTTTTTTTGGCAAGTTGCATTCTGGCATTGCCTCTGATTGATCCAAGTTTCTGTTTTTGGACTCACAAAGATGAGATGGCTTCGGTTTCAGGTGTCCGATTTAACATTTTCAGCCTGAGACAAACTTGGTTAAACAATCTTCTTTTGTGTCTTACCAGCGCATAATGTTCCCAAGTCCTAGCTGTACTTTCAATGTCTATTTAATAATTAATTTTCTTTTATTTATTATAGTTAATTGTAATTAGATTACTGCTTAATGATCAGTGGTCATCATGTGTTCTCACGTGCTAGCTCTTTCAAATTCATTCTCATTCTCAACTCTCAAGTTCTTTGCTTTCGGTGCCATCGGTAATTGCATCCTTAAAAAGTACTTACATTATTTCATAAAAAGATATTTGTTCGGAACAGTATCTGAGATTATTCACACATCTATGCATTATAATTTTTTTTTTGTTTTCTGGGTAAAAACTGACAAAAGAAAGAAGAAAATTCCTGGACTGTCCAATGAATGATTGACAGATTTGAAGATTTCTAATTCAACTTTGTTGATACAAAATTCCGCATTTATTGGGATATCTAGATAGAAATCCACACTAACCAGAGATACTTGGTTGACCACGAGGGAATCGAGCAGGGTAGGTGCGTGACTCGGGAAAGTCAGCCAGGATAAAGGCGAGTAATTTGGACAAGATCGGAGTAAGTGATAACATTAATCAGTAGTGACAATGCAGAGACAAGCTTTTAAAGTGGTTTGGCCATGTTGAGGATAGAGCCTACGTCCACTGATTCTTTTACTTATTGGGATGGGTAGTACAAGAAAATATGAGAATTTGTGGGACTAATTGCTCCCTTTTTCTCTAAAAATTTTCTCGGGCCCCCCTTTTTTAGGGTTTCAGTTTGATATTTATAGGGGGCATAATGGGTCTTTAGTGGGGATACGACAGTGAAATGATTATTATCAGCCTGATGGATTTTGAGCGTGTAAAAGAATTGTTACACTTAATCCTTGTCATCACTGTAATTAACTTGAGTTTGTCGAAAGAGACTTGTTGGTTAAGGAGGCAGCTGCATGTATAGCACATGGCGATCATGCGGCTTATTAGGTTCACTAAGTGTCGTAACGATGGTTGAAGTTGTTGACATTTGTCTTGCCCATCAAGAGTTGACATTTGTCTTGGGTGAATAGTTTCTGCGACCTGCTTGGCAAGACGTTCGGACTAGGATTCCCAGGCTTCTACCGGGCTCGAGCTAGGTATTTATTCCCGCGCAACAAACTTAAATGAATGATCTGTAAGACTTTCTTTTGTGAAAATGAAAATATATATAAATACATTTGAATTATATCCAAAGGTTATATGTTGTGTGTGATTTTTCTACCAAGCTTAGGCTATAGTGAGCATGTAGCTTGATTCAAAACTAGCTTGACTCCAACGATTGTCCGATCCAGCATAAGTTCGTCGAGCTCTAGCTCGACCCAGCACAAACTAGTGCGAACAATCTGTGCAATCGTTCAACTAATTCTCAGATAACTCCAGATCCCAGATATCTCGAGAGGAATTAGATTAACAGGAATCTTTGCGCAATCATAATAACCAATCACGAGAATATCAGAGTTGCATTTCAAATCAATTGTAATCCCTTTATTTTCGCTCTTTCTTTTGTACAAACATTGTATATATACCTCCATCAAATGATGAAAAAGGGGTTTGATAACTCTCATAGAATTTATATTGTAAGCTCTTACAGCAAATACAAGAACAGTGGACGTATGCTCAAGAGTTTATCTCGTTGAACCACTTTAAAAATCTCTTTGTCATTTACTTTTTACATTTATCATTTGTTCATCATTGATTATCCGTAATCATACATAAATCAGTTTCGATCCTGTCACGGTAGATCAAATCACTCTAGTTAGTATAGATTTATGTATTATCATTACACATCAGATGTAGGCATCAATTGCATACGTAGTCTAGTTAAAAATTTGGGCTATGATTTTTAAATATCTAAAAGGGAAATACTATATGAGAATGACATGTGGGCTGCGGTGGAGATGATTTACTATAGCAGATACCTTTTGGGAAAGTGGGTGGGTTTGGTTTGTCAACTTAGGATTTCATGCCCAATTTGACCTATCCATGGCTACTCTCACTTTCTTGCCTAAGCTTTACAATGCATCCACGTCTCATCACGTCAATTTCTGGATATCTTTCAATTTCCAAATCATTTCAATCCATGCAATTCGCAATTGCTTGCTGTATCACATTTCACAAAACATACAAATCTTCATTTATCTTTATTTTGGTTTTATTCTTGGAAATGCATGATATATATACCTCAACATAATCATGCATGCATATGCTTAATTAACTTCAAGTTCCTCCTTCGAGGTTCATGCACAACAATTCTCCTAGGCCTTAGCCATACATTCTTTTCTTCTCGTTTTGCAATAAACCATGCCAGGGAATTGTAGAAGCTAGTCAATTCACATGGCCACCCGCCTGAAACTACTCCTCTTTAATTACAGTGAAAGCATTTTGGTCATCAATGACACAATAAGCATCAAGCAAACCCAAAAAGAATTGAGAGCTTAAATAATTTGCTGAAATACAGGAGTTAGCCACGCATCCCTTGGCCTTTAGGCCATAAAATTAGATTAAAGTGTGCAGTTAATTTAAATTAATCTGGGCAATGCATGGAACCCCTTTATTTTAGTTTTACTTTTTTTCAAACAAAGATACCTTGTAGTTTTTGTTGGCATGGTTTGTTTGGTCCACTGAATTTCCTGGGCTATGGCTATATATAAGAATGTATATTCATGAATATAACTACGTATTTGTGCACACAAACATGTAAACTCTGAAGCAGGGCGGCCATAAGATATGTAGCGAATCTCAACACCTCTAATCTTCTTCTATCTAGATAAGGTTTACAAATTAGAGTGTCAAATCAAGACAGATGCATATTATTTCCCAATAAAAAAAAGAAGGTTTGAAGCCCAAGAAGAAGTTCAGGGTGGTGTTTATGAATTATGATCACCACCGGCCATTGAAATTTTGGAACAAATAGTTAGTTTTTAGAATCAAGCCCAAGGTTTGGTGGTTACCCAAACAGCTAGCTGGAGTCAGTAAAAATTATTCAAATACAACACATTTTGTCAGCCCCAAGAATCCTGTCCATCAACACCTATGAAAACTACTCTTATTTTAACACCATTTTTTGTATGGATCCAAAATATTCACTCTCTCTTTAACTCATAAAAAGCTCTTTATATTTTTATTAGTACTCTATGTGTTGAACTCAGTGTCTAATGTCCATAAGTATGGCAGCTCCCATCACTGTGCTCTACTTAAGAGTTTTGGTCTTATTCATCTGGGCACTTGTCTGTATACTTGGACAAAACTTGCTCAACTGCGGCTCCACCTCTCCGGACGCTTCAGGCTACCGCTGTAATTCAGTTGGCTCCCAGGATCAGTGTGGCACTTTTGCAATTCTTCGCACTAATTCTTACTACTCTTCTCTTTACAACTTGAGCTTTTACTTGGGATTAAACCGGTTTGTGATTTCTGAGGCCAATGGATTCTCTGCGGACACAGAGTTTCTTCCAAAAGATCAGCCCTTGTTGATTCCGATTGACTGTAAATGCAACGGTGGTTTCTTTCAGGCTGTTTTAACTAAAACCACCGTCAAAGGTGAGAGCTTCAATGGAATTGCTGAATCACTGGAGGGCTTGACGACTTGTAAAGCCATCCGGGAGAAAAACCCTCGAGTTTCGCCGTCAGGTCTTGCTGATAAAGTTCGCCTACAAGTTCCATTAAGATGTGCTTGTCTTTCTTCATCGGAGAATCTCCCACAGACAAGACTTCTGTTGTCTTATCCGGTCAGTGTAGGAGATACTATATCTAGTTTGGCCATTAAGTTCAACACCACTTCAGACGCCATAATATCTGCAAATAACAAATCTTTATCGGGAACCTTTAAGCCGGGAGGCCTTACACCTTTTACTTCTCTTTTGATTCCTCTTAACGGTAAGCCTGATCTTGGTCTCCTTTCAAAACCCCGTGAACCCAATTTACATTTTCCTGAAACCACCAACATCTCTGCAACTACTCTACCGAAGAAAAAGTCCAAGATGATGAAGGTGGGAGCTTATATTGCTCTCAGCGGAGTCGTCGTTGGAGGGTGTATCGCAATTGCAGCTGCTGTTACTGTGATCCTCTTGAAGAAGAAGAAACAGAATCCAGTACTACAAAAGGATGGAGATGTTGAGCTTCAACAGCAACATCAACAACTCAGTACTGCAAGTATAAGGACTACCAGTGACAAAAAAATGTCATTTGAAGGATCCCAGTGTACAATTGATGGCCCAACCATTGACACTCACAAAATGCTAGTGGAGAGCCATACTGTGGAGGAGCTGAGAAGAGCAACGGAAGACTTTAATCGCAGTAACCAAATAGAGGGAGCTGTTTATCATGGTCGTCTCAGTGGAAAGAACTTGGCCATAAAGCGGACGCAACCAGAGATTATCGCAAAGGTTGAGATGCAATTTTTTCAAAATGCAACTTATCATCATCCCAACATAATTAGGCTCCTAGGCACATGTTTGACTGATGGTCCTCATTCGTTTCTGGTTTTTGAGTATGCTAAAAATGGGTCCTTGAAGGACTGGCTCCATGGTGGATTAGCAATGAAGAATCAATTCATTGCCTCTTGCTATTGTTTCCTGACATGGAGCCAGAGGTTAAGAATCTGCCTTGATGTGGCCATGGCGTTACAATACATGCACCAAATTATGAATCCGAGTTATGTTCACAGAAATATAAAGAGCCGGAACATCTTTTTGGATGAGGAATTCAATGCCAAGCTGGGGAATTTCGGTATGGCGAAATGTGTTGAAGACGATACTGAGAGTCCACAATTTTATTCAACAAATCCTGCCACTTGGAGCTTGGGGTATTTGGCTCCTGAGTATATCCACGAACGTGTAATTTCTCCAAGCGTTGATATCTTTGCTTACGGAGTAGTTTTACTGGAGATTTTATCAGGCCAAACCCCAATCAACAGGCCGAAGAAGAAAGATGAAGGAAGTGTGTGGCTTTCAGAGAAAATAAAGTCCATATTACAATCAGATAATGCGGATGAGCTGAGGGATTGGATGGATAGCGCATTGGGTGAGAATTATTCATTTGATGCTGCAGTTACAGTGGCAAACATTGCAAGAGCTTGTGTAGAAGAAGACCCTGAAATGAGACCAAGTGCTGGAGAAATTGTGGAGAAGTTGTCAAGATTAGTGGAAGAATCACCAGAAGGGAAGCACTTTTCAATCTGTGAGAGCTCTTCCAAACCGCTGGTGAAGGCAGGTGCAATGAAGTAACATCACATTTTTGATTAATTGTGATGAAGCAGCATTAGTTTTAGTTGTTTTATGGTTAGTGGGATCCTCTATATATGTAATTAACAAAGTGTCATCGGAGATGAAGAACAGCAGGCTTCTACTTTTGTATTGTGTGTATTGCAGGATTATTATTAATAAAAGCATATATATTGATACCAAGTGACATTCATGTTCATGTCTATTAATATTATTTTTATATGTTGCTACTGTGCTTTATTGAAGGATGCAGAGGTTTGACCGGAGCTGACTAAAATAGTCAAAGATTAGTCAAAGGTCATGGTCCTGGAGCAAAAGTTTAAATGTTTGTACCCAATTAAAGGTTAATTAAGTTGTACGAGTGACTGTTGCCATTAAAAATTTTAAAACATGGATCCAACCAAAAGGCAATATTAAGTTATAATTTTGCGTGGGGAGAACCACATTTTCGCACCGAAGGTTTGATAAAATGGCACTTTCTCAATCTTTGTCAGGTTCTGTTAATATTTTTTTATTAATATTTAATTAAAAAGGTAAAAATACTCTTAAATAGTTTATTATAAATTAAAATTTAATTAAGTCAAAGTCCTTACTCAATTATTTTTTAGTTCAAGTGTAAAAATATTTTTTTCTTTGTTTATTAATTAATTATGAATATTGATTTTCTATATTAATTAGGAAAAATAACAAACATTGTATTATGAAAAACATTATAAATTTAGTAGATTATTGAATAATAATGATGAGATATTGATGATATTATAAATAAATAAATAAATATTAAAATCATTTAACTTTAAACAATTTCATAGTATTACTCCTAACTTTTTAGACGAGGTTAACTACTTTTTCCTTTTTTACTTTTTAGCTAATTAAAAATAATAAAAAATTTATAAAGTCAAAATTTTAAGGGTACTTTCATCTTTTTAATAAACTATTAACGAAAAACATAATAGAACTTAACAAAGAGTAGGAAAGTGTTATTTTTAAACTTGAAGGGTGGGGGAAAGGGTGCATACGAGCCAAGCCGAGTCGAGTAGTGGCTGGCTCGAGCTCGAGCTCGACGAGCTCGAGTTCAAGGTCTGCTCGTTTAAAAAAATAAACGACTCGAGCTCGGCTCGGCTATTTATAAGGATTTAACAAAACGATGTCGTTTTGAACCCACCTTTTTCTTCTTCTTCTTCCACCGTCCCTCCCACTAACTTCTCAGTCGAATCTGCTGAGACCAAAATCCAACTCCTCATCTCCACCTAGTCATAATCTTTAGTCGATCTACGTCATGAGGAAACTACTCACCACCATCGCAGTCCACCCCACCGTCATCGAACTCGTCAGATCTCAACTTTACCTCCGACCTCCTCTCATGCGGCACCTGCGTCACTCGTCAGATCTCTGTTTTCGACCGAATGATCTCACGAGCTCTCCTACTCAAATGACGTCTCGAGTGATTCAAACAGCTCGCGAACAGTTCGAATCGAGCCCGAAAAGCTCGACATTTTTCACGAGCTTGAAGTTGAGCTCGAACAAAAGGGAGAATGACATTTTCCACCCAAGCCAAAGATGAGAGAGCCGAGAGAGTGAGAGAGAAAATGAGAGATTGATTTTGTTTTCAATTCTTTCAAATTTTTATTAAAATGGTATAATACTTAATTTATATACCATGGGCACAAAGTGTAATTTTAAATTGTTTTGGGAAGGCCTCAAACAATTTAAAATTAACTTAAGAATAAACGTTTATGTTAAGTCCTTGGTTTTATGGTTAATTCATAATTAGACCAAATTTTAATTCAATTAAATATTCTAACCCTTTAGAATAAAACCAATGCACTTTTGCCCCCATCATTGAATCCAATTCAATCATAATATTTAATAAATTCTTACTACCCTTGGTTAGTGCTAGCTATACATGAATAATCATTTCACCAATACATTAATTCGGATGCAACTGTCTATGTCCGAACATCGTTAATTTGATTAATGATATGTATTACTCTCTCTCCTTGAGCTTGGTTTTATGTGTGACCATTTTGGTTCACTGTGATCTAGCCTTGGGCCCAATATCAGATTTTGATATGTTTCGTTATAACTCTTTTATAATCGAAACTCTCATTAATTATGGTAGACGTCTCCATAACCCCTAAACGACAATGAAGTTTAAACTCCAATGAACCTATTCTGATCGTATGTACCATGTAGTCAAATCCCTCCGTTATCTAATCCCAATTAAGAATGGTTCATGGTATGTCAAAACCTTTAACTTAATCTTTAATCGAATTGTCAATCGATACAATGGAACTCGTCAACATAAAACTACTTTTTATCTAACATTCATTATACTCTGGCTAGAGATTTACCTTTTCCAATGTTTATTGACATTCGTCTGGGAACTCGAGATTGGACTATATTGAGTTAATGAATCCCATCTTGACCATCTCTTGTCCTCACACATGAATAACATATGACCAAACTGGCTTATTACACAAGACATGACTAGTCTCATGCTTATACACCATATGAACCATATGCATCTTATGTTGAATCCAACCATGATGTCTCAGGTCTAAGGATTAGTGGTACACTAGCACGATCCTACGATGCATCATTGACCATATCCATGTGATTCATCGTAATTTGTTTTATTCGATTAATAGTTCACTAACCGTTTATCCATGCTAATGCCTTAGTGACATACCTCTTATAATCACCCACACTAATACCATCACATGATATTCAATGGAGACATTCAACATGCCTACTATGCAATGTTATTGCCCAATTAACATTACTTGCGTAGGGAATTCTTTGATGATTTGATCTTCTGAAGATCCGTGTCATCCGGACATTTCACTTGCAATATTAAATATAATATAATATAAATGAAGTAGAAAATCAACATGTGAAATAAGAACACTTTCTTGTATTCATAATACATTTACAAGATATAATGTCCTGAAACTGACAATACGATTGGTTCCTAGGGCATACACTAACAAACCCAACCCCACTCCAAATCCTAGACTCCGACGGCAGCGACAGTTCAAAGGCTGTCGAAGAAGATGCTCCGATGGATTATCCAATGAATGAAGGTGGTCTAGAGGCAGAGGAGACAACGGGGCACAAGAATAGAGAGAAGAATCAAAAAACGATTTTGAAGAGGAGGACGCCAACGAGAATTCAAGCGAGGAGGAGGATGCCGGTGAAAAAAGGGTATGTTTTTTACTTGTTGTTTTTAATTTGATGAGAAATTTGATTGATTTGTGCGAATTTGAGGGATATGTAGTTGGTTTTATTGTTATGGTGGTTGTGGCGTTTTGTCAAGCAGTTGACGGGCATTTGAGGAGTGGCTTTGTTTGGGTTCCAGAGGATGGGGAAAGACAAGGGAGACTGTATGGATGTTGTTTGTGGGAGGTTGGAGGGCTGGGATGGCAGATGGTGGCTAAATCGGGGGCGCAGCTACGTGCGTTGTGCGAGGCCAACCCTGCAATATGCAGGGTAACCCTCCAACCCCCCCTAATTTCGCCACCTCTTGTCATCCTCCGCCCTCCAATCTCATGAAACCTGCCACAACAGCCTCTGTAGGGCTTGCATTGGCTTCCCCGGTCTTCTTGAGGCCAAAAACACCCACTTCTCGATGCCCTCGAAGCCCATATCCCCCAAATTGCCAGCCTATTGGTTATTTTGGTTTCTTTTTTTTGTTGATATTTAGTTTATATCAATTGTGTAGATTTTCCGAAGCGTAAATTATAAAGACTATGGGTTAGAGGTTATAAGTAATAAGGTACCGTACTTCCCCGTAAGGGTGATAGTTAGGTCGAGTTGACAAGTTTTTACGAGAATAATAGAGATTTTACAGGAACAGAGGAAGGGTATGGACCGATTCAAAGAGAGTTGTTTTGGTCATTTTATGAACATCAGAGAAAATTGGAAAAAGGCGTTTTGGGGGCAAGGAGTGCATTATATGTTGCTGCACTTAGTTAAAAGAAAAAAAAAATGAAATATGGTTCGTAGTGGATGGGAAGCCACTACGGTTTGGGATGATGGAATATCCCTTGATGACAGGCTTAAGATGTGGGGCATTTTCAGATGCGGAAGAGCAAGAGAGAATAAAAAAGCGTAGGGTAGCCGATAACTTAGCTAAAAAGGTTTTGGGGGGAAGGCGTCTATTATGGGATGCGATTTAGAGGATAGGTTAGGAGAAGGTGGGTATACCTCTTCAGAAAGGTTTAAGATATGTTTGGTATGGTTCGTGCATTCGATCATAATGGCTTCTGACTCAACAAAAGCAGTTAATATGGATTGGGTGAAGTTTGCAAGCAACCAGGACTTCTTTAATGCTTATCCGTGAAGACGAGTATCATTTCAGCTAACCATGGACTCCCCACAAGGAGAAGACATGGTGTTAAATCAGCGCCAATCTGTCGAGAAGAATAGACCGAGCACGTACAATTTGTTTGGCTTCCCATGGGTAATGCAGGTAAATATTAATAGCTTTTTGTTATATTTTTTGTATTATATGTGTTTTGATTATGATATAGACTATTTTTTTATAATGTAGGCTTGGATATATGAGGCCATCCTTGTCCTGGCTAAAGTGGGGAGAGGATGAAGACTTTAGATGAGTGACTGTAATTTCCTAAGATGTTGCATGATACATCGAAAAGTGTACGCATTGGGATTACGACAAAATAGAAATGGAAATTCAAGTAGCTCGGGTAAGATTAAAGGATTAATCTTTTGAATATGTACTTGCTTTTAAATGTAGCTTAAATTTGACTGCTTTTTTTTCTTATTGCAGGTAGTCGTCCGTCCCTTCCTCATTGTTACTAGGGGTGAAGCGGGAGAGGAGTATGTTACATCGTTTAAAGCACTAGAGGATGCAGCAGACGAAAGGATAGATCGCCTAATGTAGGACTTAGAAGGGGTCATGCATGTGAGTGCAGTTGCAGGGCCACTGCTTGCAAATGTTGTTGACGCCGAGGATGATGAAGCTCCAATCGGCGGGAGGGACGAAAAAGAGGAGGATGAAGAGCTTCGTACGCCTCCACCCAATTGGAAAATCGGTACAACAAATATCGCTTTGCTGAGGTGTCGGGGTCAGGAGAATGAGGTGGTTGACCTCATAAATGGTCTGTTTGAGAGTTTT